CCCCCCCCCCCCCCGCCAACTCTGATATTTTCAATCCTTGGAAACGTTTTGTGTCTGGCTACAGGATTTGTTTATTCAAGTTGTTATATTCTGTGGAAAAGTGAAACAATTCTTAATTAAGTTGGGGATTGAAATATAAATCAAGAAAAGTTTGCTACTTTTCACAAAATAATTAAGTAGTTTCATGCACTCAGTGCTGAATGATTTAATGTCTTCTGGCCTTTTAAAATAAGTAGAATTTTCACAACTTGAGAATGTATGTGGTGTTTACATTGCTGCTTTACTCAAACAGTGAGGGAAGATGTTTGTAGATGGGCCTGTGCTAGCAGGAGGTGAGGTTGGAAGAGGACGGGAGATGTCACCCAGTGAGATTTAGCTACTAACTGCTGATTGAAGTTGTGACCAGTTGTGGGTGCAAAAGGCCATTAGCCTGACAATAACTATTGGATTAGCTCCTGGTCCGCTGAACAGTTTTTGGGTGTGAACAACAAGGGTAGGCCTTTGAAATTCTGAAGATGATGTTGTCTCTGTCCAGTAAAATACCTCGAGCCTGAAGAAAGCCAGTATATTTTCTCCCAGCAGTTGCTGTAAGCTGTTACTTTTGCTTCCTGCACCTTTTGTAAAGTCGCTGACTTATTGATTAAATGTTTCACCAGTGCTGAGATGAGATGGCCCTATCTCACATTCCTACCTGCAATTGGCACAGTTTCCACTTCTGATTATTTTCCTCTGAGAAGGCAGTTGAAGCAACAGCCACCAACTATCACAAGTGGTGTAATTACAGAATGAAATCACTTTAATAGTTTACATGTGTGCTTGTAAGCTCAACCATGCAGGGTACCTGTAAAATCATTAGTGGATATTTATTTACTAAGGGATGAAGAAGCCAGTTGATGTTCTGAAACTGCTGCATCTGTAAAGATCGGCAGGCTTAGCATAAACAACAGGATCATCAATTGGAAGGCAGCAGAGCTCTTCATTAGAATGGCAGAGCATTCTCTAAGCACACCCTCAGCATTTGACTGCAGGTTCAACTGAGGCTGGCATGGACAAGTGCGTTCCCTGATAGGCCAGCATGGCAACAAGAGGAGCTGAGGGCCCAAAACAAAAATTGATGGAAAGAAAGCAACTTCTTTAGTTTTGCTGTTCTCTTGAGAATTGGAAGGGAATAAGAGAGCTCCTGAAGACCACTTGGAGAGACCTTGAGGCTCCCTTTGCCTCCTCGACCTCCTTTAATGTTCTTCTGCTACTACCCCACCTCCAGCTAATCATTTACTAAATTGCTGAAGGGTGATCCTTTGGGTTCCCAGCAGTGTTCTCGTATGGCTCGAAATCCTGCTTCTGCCTGCTATCCAGTTAGCAATTTAGGCTTAGATGGGAGAATGATGAGGCCAATATTGACAAGACCCATGGGCAAATAGTGACTCCTAAATCTCTTTTCTTAACGCCCCACCCACCCCGCAAACACTGGATGGTTTTCTCTTGCACAGTGCAGTTCTGAGATGAATGTTGCCTAGAAATCAGGGCATTGTGCATTACTCACCTGCGATACAAACCTGATTTTACATTCATATTCATACTTCACAACAACAAAAATGCTCTTTCACTTGAAAGAAGTCGACTCTAGAGAGCACTTGAATTGAATGGTCACAATTCAATATTTTTATTTGTTAGAAGCAAAATGTTGAGTAGTTGATACCACATCCATGTATTCTCATCATGATGAGTTTTAAGTATGCAGAAAAAAGAACTGAAATTGTGGAGCTACAGCAACGTGTGTCCCACCAACGAATGACTTGGTGGTTCCAGGTTAGGTGTTTAACCTGCAACCACACATGATCTCATACTGAAATGTTGACTTTAATACTCTAATATAATGTTGCTCTGAAGTAGTGTTTCCATGGTCACCATTATCCAGCTTCTTTGTAGAATTACTGTCAAAGACTCCTGGAGCATAAAAAATGGCTTGATAACAAGTTATATGTTTCAAATGCTCCTCACAAATGGAGACAATGATGAGGCAATGGGCCAGTGTTGGCTGTCAAAATAAAGGTAAGGCTAATGGTATTCTCCATTATTTATCAGTAAATGGTACAACAGTGAAGAGGAGATGCATGGTTAACTGTTAAATCCAATAGTCTCAGTCTGAGTTCTGCTATTAGCTTCCTTGCTTGTTTTAGGGACTTGTTTTATTTGCCCATTAATTGCTCCTTGAATTTACTACGGAAAGTGAATATTAGGAAGCTCCTTGGTCCTGAAAATTACACGGTGTCTCATCATTTCAGGTTATAAATTGTTTCAGGAGACTTAAAACTGAGGAATTTTACATTTTTTTATCTTTTCATTTCTGGCTATTTCTCTCACTCCATCTTAATTCCCATCTTTCCTCCCCTTTCATCATTTCCTATACTACTGATTTGACATTGAATTCTCTTCCTTCAACACACTGTCTATTCAGTTTATTTCCAAATCCTTAAATCTCATCAGTTAAGGAAGATATATTCAGCTCGTTGTCCTATTCACACTCAGTCCAGATGCTCTGTTCACTTTCCACACCATTCACAGCTTCCTCCTTCAATGACTTAATGGGAAAAAAATGTTTGAGCTGAAGGGCAGATGGAAATGTGTATCTAATGACAAGTGCTTTGGATACTCTGTTCAAAGTCTGGCGTATTTGTTTTAATCCCAGTGTCTCAAATACAAAGTTTTCTACTTTAGGAATTTATTGTTTTTGTAGTCCTATGAAAATTCTAATGGTAATCATACTAACCTTTTTTTATTACTTTGAATGTATACAGAGTTTGTATACAGTGCTGTATGAGGCAATTTTTATAAGTATCAGTGTATTTGATGTTGGTCCTATTAAACATCTGCTAATTTAGAATGATTTTGTCATGCAGGATATTGGTGTTTTGCATTTTGTGCCCGAATTTCTGTGACTGTGGGAGACGTGCTGTAAATTCGTATTGAACTGGTGAGTATAGTGTTTGGTCTTGTGTCTTTGTGAAATGTAAAAGTGATCAAATATTACTTTGAGGGCTTACATATCTATTGGATGCTCTACATCAACATTAAACACTGATAGATGGTTTGTCAAGAGTCAAGACAAAGCAACATTATTTTTGGTTCTGTTTCTTGCTTTTCACCTTTTTAAAATGATATAATTTGGATTTGTATGTAATTCCTACAAGTCATACTTGACATTTATGGAATGTTATTTGTTTCTGGTTTGCAACCAACATATTTTCAACAGAAAGTTTTATTGACATAGACAAAATTGAGCTCAGGGCAGTGTTACCTAGCAACGTTTAAGATTTGCCAGCATGTAATGCTTGTTTCTTTTTCTTAATTGCACATGACAGAACTATAGAAAAATCCTGGAGAAAACAAAGGATGTTAGATCTTCCTCTGCAATTTTCTCCCCATATTGCCTGAGGGAACTGACCCATTCATTGAGCCAGAGCTACCCTTCCCCATACTGGAACAGAGCACCCCTCCCTATGTTTGAATTGTGATTTCAGAGAGCACAGGCTGAATCTTTTGTTCTGGAGTCATGACCCTGACATTGGGTGCTTGCCCAATGTTGCACTCCTGTCTGACGTGATTCATTATTGCATGTATAGGTCCCTTAGCAGGAGTCAGGATGTAGGGCAGAAAAGAAATCAGGAGATAGAAAGGGCAAGTAAGAAAGGCACTATTACAACAATCATGGGGATTCTTCAACATACAGGTGGACTAGGAAAATTAGGTCAGTAGCGGAACCCAAGAAAAGGAATTTATGGAACATATACAACGTGATTTTTTGGAACAGCTTGTGGTATAGCCCACTAGAGAACAGACAATTCTGGATTTGGTGATGTGTAATGAAGCAAGATTTGATTAGGGAATTAAGGCAAAGGTACCCCTTGGGGGCAGTGACCATAATATGATAAACTGCAGGGTGAACTCTGAGAGGGAGAAGCTGGAATCAGAAGTTACAGTATTAAAATTAAGTAAAAATAACAAAGATATGCTAAATGGAACTGATTTCAAACAAATCTAGCAACTCAAGACTAGCATCCATGAGGCACTGTGGGCCATCAATAGCAGCAGCATTGTACTCCACAATCTGTAACCTCATGGCCCAGCATATCGCTCACTCAACCATTATCATCAAGCCAGGTCTCAACCTTGGTTCAATGGAAAGTGGAGGAGGGCATGCCATGAGCAGCAGCAGGCATACCTAAAAAATAAGGTGAAGCTACCAAACAGGACTATTTTCGTGATAAACAACATAAAAAGAAAGTGATAGACAGAGCTAAGTGATCCCACAACATCAGATCAGACCTAAGCTGTGCAGTCTGGCCACATCCAGTTGTGAATGGTGGTGAACAATTAAACAACTCACTGGAGGAGGAGGAGGAGGATCCACAAGTACTCTTTTCCTCAATAATGGAAGAGCCCAACACACTAGTGCAAAATATGAAGCTAAAGCATTCACAGCAATCTTCAGCCAGATGTGCCGAGTGGATGATCCATCTCGGCCTCCTCCAGTGGCCCCCAGCATTACAGATACCAGTCTTTAGCCAATTCTATTCACTTCATGTGATATCAAGAAATGATTGGAGGAATTGGATACTGCAAAGACTGTTGGCCCTGACAACATTCCAGCAAGTGTATTGAAGACTCATGTTCCAGAACTTGCCGCTCCCCTAGCCAAGCTCTACCAGTGCACAAAAATGTTGGAGGAACTGAATAGATACTTTGCATCAGTCTTCAGTGGAAGACTGTGTAACAGCAGAAGTGAGTGTAATGGCCATCACTAAGGAGAAGGTGCTGGGAAAGCTGAAAGGCCTGAAGGTAGATAAATCACCCTTACTGGATGGACTACACCGCACGGTTCTGAAGGAGATAGCTGCGAAGATTGTGGAGGCATCGGTGGTGATCTTTCAGGAATCATTAGATCAAGGAGGGTCCTACAGGACTGGAAGATGTCTAATGCAATGCCCCTATTTAAGAAGGAAGGGACGCAGTTATAGGCCAGTTAGCCTGATCTCGGTCATTGGTAAGATTTTAGAGCCCATTATTAAAGGAAAAAGGACAAAGAATAGCACGGCATACCTTTTTGCTTCCACACGGTTCATATCACTCTATTCCCTGTTGTCATTGTATCTGCTTCTACCATCTCCTCTGGCAGCATTTCTAGGCACTTGCCACTCTCTGTAAACAAAAAAAAAAAAAAAATAAAATATATTACTTGTCTCTCACACCCCCTCTAAACTATCCCTCTTTTACCTTCAACCCGTGTCCTCTTGGAATTGACATATGTACCTTGGGGAAAAGACTCCGACTATCCATTCTATCTCTGTCTCTCATAAATTTATAAATTTCTATAAATTCACCATTCATCCTCCAATGTTCAAGTGAAAACAGACTGAGTTTTCCCAATCTCTCCTCAATGCTAATACCTTACAAACCAGGCAACATCTGGTAAACCTTTCCTGCACCCCCTCTAAAGCCTCCACATCATTCTGCTACTTTGAGAACGGTATGCAATATTCTAAATATGGCCTAACAAACGTTCTATACAGTTGCAACATGACTTGCCAATTTTTATACATTATGCTCTGATTGACGAAGGCAAGTATGCCATAAACCTTTCTGACCACCTTATCTACTTGTGTTGCCACTTTCCAGGAACTGCAGAACTTTGTGTGTAGGTCTCTGTATATTAATGCTTCTAAGGACTCTGTCATTTATTGTAAACATTCCTCCTGTATTAGACCTTCCAAAATGCATTTGTCCAGATTAAATTCCACCTGCCATTTCTCTGCCCAAGTCTCCAGCTAATCTGTATCCTCTGGCAATCATCCTCACTATCTGCAGCTGCCTCAACCTTTGTTCATCTGCAAACTTACTAATCAGACCAACTACATCCCTCTCCAACTCATTTATGGGTCTTAGAAACGATCTGTGCTGAACACCACTGGTTCACAGACTTCCAGTAGAAAAACACCCTTCCACTACAAGTCTGTTTTCTCCGACCATAGAACATAGAACATAGAACATTACAGCGCAGTACAGGCCCTTCGGCCCTCAATGTTGCGCCGACCTGAGAAACCAATCTGAAGCCCATCTAACCTACACTATTCCATTATCATCCATATGTTTATCCAATGACCATTTAAATGCCCTTAAAGTGGGCGAGTCTACTACTTTTGCAGGCAGGGCATTCCACGCCCTTACTACTCTCTGAATAAAGAACCTACCTCTGACATCTGTCCTATATCTATCACCCCTCAATTTAAAGCTATGTCCCCTCATGCTAGCCATCACCATCCAAGGAAAAAGGCTCCCGATGTCCACCCTATCTAATCCTCTGATCATCTTGTATGTCTCTATTAAGTCACCTCTTAACCACCTTCTCTCTAACGAAAACAGCCTCAAGTCCCTCAGCCTTTCCTCATAAGACCTTCCCTCCATACCAGGCAACATCCTGGTAAATCTCCTCTGCACCCTTTCCAATGCTTCCACATCCTTCCTATAATGCGGTGACCAGAACTGTACACAATACTCCAAGTGCGGCCGCACAGAGTTTTGTACAGCTGCAAGATGACCTCATGGCTCCGAAACTCAATCCCTCTACCAATAAAACCTAACACACTGTACGCCTTCTTAACAACCCTATCAACCTGGGTGGCAACTTTCAGTGATCTATGCACATGGACACCGAGATCTCTCTGCTCATCCACACTACCAAGAATCTTACCATTAACCCAGTACTCTGTATTCCTGTTACTCCTTCCAAAGTGAATCGAGCGTGAGAGAGAGTCTGGGGCGTTTGTGTATGGGGTGTGCCTGGGGTGTGTGTGTGTGTGCCAGTTCTTTATCCATCTTAACAACTCACTGTGGATCCCTTGTGACTTCACTTTTTGTATCAGCCTGCCATGAGGAACGTTGTCAAAGACCTTGCTAAAATCCATGTAGGCAACATCCACCGCTCTGCCCTCCTCAATCATTTTCGTCACTTCCTCAAAAAACTGAATCAAGTTGGTAAGGCATGATCTCCCCCGCACAAAGCCAAGCTGCCTGTCACTAATAACTCTGTATTTTTCCAAATGCAAATAACCTTCCTTCAATTTAGTACTTTTATCTAAAGACTACTCTAATCCTTATCCATTAGTAACTTAAAACTTCACCCACTGAAACGTCAATCACCTGGCTGGGCTCATTCTCCAATACCAGGTCTAGTATGGCCCCTTTCCTAGTTGGACTATTTACATATTGCTTCAAGAAACCCTTCTGGATGCACCTCACAAATTCCCCACCACCGAAGCCCTTGGTGCTAAGAATGTACTGGTCAATATATGGAAATAACCCTGTTGTTTTCACATTTTTCTATAAGATTTAGGAAACTGAAGTCATAGTGAGCCCTCGAGTATAAAGAAAGCAGAAAAGAACTTAAATAAGTAGTTAGGAGGGTTAAAAGGAGACATGAAATGATCCTGGAAGACAGGATTAAGGAAAATGCAAAGGCTTTTTATATTTATATAAAGAGCACGAGTAGGGAAAGGATATGTCCACTCAAGGACAAAGGACAAAATTTATGCATGGAGCCAAAATGTGTGGGTGAGGTCCTTGAAGAATACTTTGCTTTGATATTCACAACGGAGAAGGACATAGTGGATGGTGAGGCTAGAGAGCAGTATGTTGATATTCAAGGGCATGTCAATATAAACAAGGTGTTGAGTATTTTGAAAAGCATTAAAGTAGACAAGTCCCAGGACCCAATGGGATCTATCAAGAATACTGAGGGAGGCGAGGGAGCAAACTGCTAGGGCCTTGTACCAAATCTTTGTATCCTGTTCAGTCGCTGGCAAGGTCCCAGAGGGCTGGAGAATAACCAGTCTTGTTCCTTTGTTTAAAGAAGGAAACAGGGATAATCTGCAAAATTACAGGCTAGTAAACCTTACATCAGTGGTAGGGAAATTATTG